TAACCTTTCCTAATCTTCCTTAATGCTAGTGCTTTCTTATTGTTGATAATCTATAATTTATCCTGTATGCACACACACATATGCATATACATATATTTTTATATATGTAGTTTGTACATAGTTGTTTACATGTTGTCTTCCCCATTAGATGGTGAGCTCTTTAAGAACAGGGACTATTTTTTGCCTTTCTTTGTATCCCCAGCACTTAGCACAGTGCTTGGCACAGGGTAGGTACTTAATAAATGTATATTGACTGACTAAGCCTTGTAGAAGACTATTTTTAAAACCTCCTTTTTAGTTCCTTTAGTTCCTCTATAAGAAATTTTTAGTTCTTCTATAAAAGAAATACTATTATTTTTTCCAACCCAAAACCCTTTTCAGACTTTCCCCTTGGTCTCGATAGATTCCTCCCCTCCAAGAAACCCCATAATGAAGGGATGAGAACAGAAGAAAAAAGAAAGGATCCATACCTTTTTCTGTGTCACTCCGTGGGCCAGAAGAACACCCAAGATTCACAGGAAAAGGAATATATTTGGAGCATGGGGGAACCCTCACAATCCCTCGTGATGTCAACTTCCTAATAATTGCTTGCATTGGCATGAACAATGACATCTCTAAGTGTAATGCTGGTTGGGCAGAGATTTCCTCTTCCTTGTTGTTCTGGGCTTCTTCTTTGAGACCCTGAGTTCTACTAGGCGAAAAGAAACAGGGCACATTGTAAAGGACCTTTCTAAATTCTGAATTAGGAATTAGACCTTTATCCCACTAAATATTTCTCATCATAGTAGACTCTCCTTTCTCTAGTGGCTCACTTCCCTGCTCTGCTGCAATCCTTTTTTCATTGGTTTAACTCCTTATGATACATTTCCTTCACAATGATTGGTTATTGCTCATCCTTCATACTCGAAGAGGACAAAGAAGACATCATGATGTTGGGGTCAAGGTACAGTGTACTGGTTTGACTGTGGATGATTGGAAGGATCTACCACAGGTCAGGCACAAATAGTCCATTTTTGACATTTGGGATGGAAATGTCTCTAGATTTGTGCATCTTTTTCTTTTGAGCTACTGCAATTCTGCTTTGCTCATTTAGCACAGCACAGCGCCTTCTTTGATGTGGGCATGACAACGATTGGTAATGCAATGGGAAAGTACAGATAATATAATTATAGGATCGCAGATGTAGGGCCAGAAGTGTCCTCAGAAACCATCTAATCTGACCAGCCCACTTTATAGATGAGAAAACTGAGGCCTGGGGAAGTAAAATGATCTGATCAAGATCAAATAGATAAAAAGTGTCAGAGGCAGGATTTGAACCAAGGACTTCAAAGCCAATTCTCCTATCACTGAACTATACTGCTCAATTAAAGAGCTGAAAAGACTTGAGAGATAATTGAGTAGGTCCTAATTTTACAGATGAGGAAAATGAGGCCCAGAGAGAGGAAGTTCCCCCCTGCCAGGGTCATCAAGCAAGTTAGTACCAGAAATAGAACCTGTTTCCTGTCCAAGTCCTGGCATGATTTTTCTTGGAAGCTCTGCTTCCAAAGACTTTCTTTACTTTGAAGGGAACTACAGGTATGGAATACTATATATTGTACCAGATTCAGTTGATGTGTTGGTGAATTTTAGGGAATTGCTCCCTCCCCCTCCTTTTTCTTTCCCTCTTTCTTTTTAGTCTTTATTACAAGTGACAACTCCAAGTGGAGGAGAAGAGGGAAATATTTGAAAATGAAAATGATCTAAAAACAAAGGATATGAATAAAGCCTTTAATTCCCTAACAAGGCTTATTCCTTTATCTATGTAAGCTCTAAAATGACCCTATTTACAACTGTGAAAGTCTTAAGAACTGATCTATTCAATGGCCAAACATAATTCCAGAGGACTCATGATGAAACATGCTACTCATCTCTCAGAGAGGTAATGGATTCAGGGTGCAGGCTGAGATAGATAGAGATAAAAAGAGAGAAAGAGATATATGTATATGTATATACACATAGATGTAAATAGATATTTTTATGTGTATATATACAGACACACATGTGTGGCCAATGAACAAGTTTCTTTTGTTTGACTATGCATATTCATATTTGTTTTAAGTTTTTTTTTGTTTTTTTTGGGGGGGGGATGACACAGGAGGGAGAAAAGGTAGATTTTTTGTCCATTTAACAAATAATTAGCCAATATACCCTAATCCAGATAAGCAGTACTTGGATCACAAAGTTGGTTCAACTGATTTCAGATACCCTTTAAAAAGCACCTCCTTACTTTAATTCAGATACAAATAGTTGAGGATTTAGGTCTTGGCCTGAGCTGAGGTTTGAGCTTCCCTTCATGTTGTCCCCACTCCCTGAAAAGGGAAGAAGGAAGGAGAAAGAGTTGTTACTGAAAGAATATTATGGGAGAAAAATTTTTCAACATTATTGCAAATATGTGAAATAAGACCCTCTTATGGGACAGATCTGGCTCTAGGACAACAGAATTGACATTATTAATCAGATATAAATCAGATAACACAATTTACCAATGCAGGAAAAAGGGAAATAGAAAAAAGAAAAAAATGAAGTTAAAACATTCACCTCCAAAACCAATGGGACCCAACAGAAACCAAAGAGGAGAAAAAGAAAGTCTGTAAATAGAACATGTGTCTTATATAGAGACCTGTGCAACAAGAACATCTGGAGAGGAAAAAAAACAACAATCACTCTTCTGTTCCATTCCATTAACATTTATATTATTCTTAATTTAAATTTCTGCTGATTTTATTTAAAATCTGTTATAAAATTAATATTCCAAGCTCATTTTTTTGACCAGTTAAAATTCTAGGCAAATGCTTACTGGTAGGATATGAAACACTCATTAAGGCCATTTAAAAATAAATAAGGTCAGGCCTAAGCAAAATTATGAAATCTTTACCACCACATTAACCCTAATTTCCCAAGGTAGGACTCCATGTATGAAAACATTTCAGGCAAAAAAAGGTACATTTATTTTTGAATTAAAACTTGTGAACAAAGGTGCTACCTCTTCCCCATGATTTACACTTTTAGTGGTTTATCACTCAAGGCTTTCTTTCTTGTTAAAAACTATTTTTGGCATTAGTGAGTAGGTGAGGGAAATGTTTTGAAGGGCAAGGCAATTCACAGTGCTCCTGAAATCATTTATACCTAAGGCCAGGCTTGAAGTAAATTGCTTTATTCACTCGAGGGAAGTAGTCTAGATGAAGTATAAGGGGAGGATGGGGTCATAAGGGATGGTGAATATCAATTCAAACTTCATATTGAGCAAGAATTAGCATCAAAGATCTCAAAATGGAAAAGACCTTTGAAATCACAGAAACACAGCTTTTCAGAGCTCTAAGACATCTCAGAGACTACCTAGCTCAACACATACCTGAAAAAAAAATCTTCTGTAACAAACTTAATAGTGGAGACCTCCTTTCAAAGTGACACTATTCCTTTGTTCAGCCATCCAATCTGTTCCAAATGCATGTAATTGTACTGTTGTCTTTCCATCTTTTCCATAGAAATAGCACAATTGGCTATTAAATGTTTTGCTAAAGTTTAAATAAAATATATCTATGGTATTCTCCCAATCTACCAGTCCAGTCCAAAAAGGAAATGGGGGCTAGTGTAACATGACTTCATAAAGCCATGCTAGTAATTTTTTTGAGGGGGTGGGGAGAGTGACTGCTTTCTTTTAGTTAATAACCATCCTTTCAGTAATATGTTCTAGAATCTGGAGAGGCAATACTTCATCAAAACTTTCCCTTTGCCCATCTCTCTGTTTCTGTGTCTTTTTTCTATATATTCTCTTCTGCCTTTATGTCTCTCCCTGAGTCTTTCCCTTTCTGTATGTGTGTCTCTTCTCAACTCTGTTTCCTTCCCCCTTTCCCAGTCTCTTCTTAAACTGAAGTGAAATATATTCTTAAATCATGTAATATATTTATTGAACAGAGCTTTATGCTCCTTGTTATCAACTTGTACTTACATATTTTTATTTGAAATGCTCATTCTATAAGGATCATGTTTGTTAATGTTGTCTATACTTAACTCTATCAAGAGTTACATTTTAAAATATTTGCTTAAAAGATGAAAAGTTTTCTCACATTCATCCTAGGTAAAACATGCACCAAGTAAGAGCTTGGTTTATTTCAATAATTTTTTAACTGGTCTCCCTACCTGTAGTCTTGGCCATACCCTCTCCTCTCCCCCCAACCCAATACACTGGCACCAGAATAATATTCCTAAAGTGCAGCTCTCATTGACAGAAGTGGCAAGAAAGCCTTCGTAAGAATGACCAAAGAAACAGCCAAATGGTGTCAGTTTATCAGAACTGTCTTTTGAAACCCAAAGTTTAAAAAACCTAACAAATATTAAACATCGTAGAATATTTCTGTGTATATCTATAGTTCGTCAAATTATGGTTGCTACACATAGCCTGTGTGACCCTGGGCAAGTCATTTAAGTGGTCAGTGCTTCCAGACAACTCTAAGACTAAACTGCAAAGCCATTGCTGATCAGCATTGGTAGAGCATTCTAGAATCCTAGGTTCAATCCAAAACAATTATGGCTTTTCTAGTTCAGGATATAAAGTAGAACAAATAATCAGAAGTGGGATTTAGTAATTGGCGGCTATTGTGGGTCATTATAACCACCAAAATCACCAAGTCTTGACATCTGATCAGCTATTCAATAATCACATCTGATTCATTTGGTTGTATAAATCCAGCCACAACAGAATTTTCCATTCTAAGAAACCTAAGAATGAGGAGATAGGAGCACAAGGAAAAACACAGGACTCCTACCTATCTCTATATCACTCTGTGATCCAGTCAACAATGCAGTCTCCAAAGAGAAAACAGGACATTTGTCCTCTGCATGTGATGAGGACTCTCTCTCCATACTCCCTGGTGGTGTCCTCATGCCAGTATTCTGTGGCATTGATAAGATCAGTGGCATCTCCTGTTGTGATACTGCTTGGTCAGGTGGTTGTTCTTCCTTGCTGTTATTTGTTTCTTCTGTGGTGCTCTGGGCTATCCTGGGAAAAAACAAAGGAGATATATTTAAAGAAGCTTTGCAAATTTAAACTGTGAATTATGTGTATTGTTCCTTAAATACTTTCTCATTATGATAGAACCTATTTATTGAGTAGAATTGTTCCAGAAATCATCAGAGATGGAATAAAACATGACCTGTACATCACAAAAGGTTAAGAAATTCATCCAAAAATGGAAATAAACATGCTTTAGTGGCCTGAGAACTTACCTGACTCAAAGCTCATTGAAAACCTTTAGGAGTAGAGTCAAGGTGGCTGAGTGAGAGGAAGTATTTTTGCCTAGCTCACCCAGCACACCTCCTCCAGAACAACATAGAAAACATGCTATCTCAAATTCTGAGCAAGGAAGACAAGAAAAACTCACAGTGAGTCATGTTTCCAGCTTAGAGTCATTTAGGCAGACAGAAAGAAGCCTATGGGTCCTGCAGCATGAATTGTTCAGGAGTGGGTGAGGCAACAGTGGTGGCAGGGAGCATTTTAGTAACCAGGGACAAAAAGGAGGCCAAAACAGGGCAGCAGGGCAGGAAGCACTGGGGCAGAAAGAGATCCTAGGGAATCCCTGTACTGTAGGATCAGGTGTCATCTGTCAGCTCAGTTGCCCATTATCCAGTTCCAGGTCATAGATTCAGGGCGAAGAGGTGAAGCTGTAAGTGAGCATGGAGTCTAGCTATGTACTGAGGGAGGAACAAGTTTTGGAAACATAGCTGTGTGGCTCTGAGCCCAAGAACAGAGCAACAACTCAGTCCTGGCCTTTAGCCCATCACAAAAACCTCAGTGGAATAATCAGGGCAGGAGACCGAGATCAAAGTGAAGCAGTTCAATCCTCCGAGCCTGAAGAATCTCCTAGGCTAATAATGACCGAGTCTAGCAGCCATCTACTGAAACTTAATCTTACACAAGTTAACAGACTGAAACCTGAGTTAGGAACTTGCAGAGTTCAGATGAGGAGGGCAACCTGTAGACCTCTCCCTGGATCACACTAATTTGTGAGCACTGAAAATATGCAGCACCCCAGAATGAGATGTAAAAGCATCAAAATGATGCAAAAGGACAGAAGCTCAGGGAAGACATTTTCTCCTCACACACACACACACACACACACACTCACACAAGTGTGCAGAGCCCAGCACTCATATAAGATCCAAAGTCAAGAAGCAGGCTGGAAAAATGAATAAACGAAAAAGAACCCAACCATAAAGGGCTACTATGATGACAGGGAAGCTCAAGACATAAACCCAGAAGTAGATAAAGACTTGAAAATATGTATAAGCAAAGCCTTAAAGAAAACTGCAGACTGAATATAAGATCAACAAGAATTCCTAGAAGAGTTACAGCAAGTGTTTTTTTTTTAAGAGCAAAAAAAATTATTTTAAAACCAAAGGAGAGGAATAAAGGGAAAAAATGGGAAAATAAATGAGAAATATAAAAGACGTGAAAAACAGAACTGACTTAGTCAAAGAGGTTAAAAAAAACCTTTTTGAATATAACTCCTTAAAAATTAGAATTGCCTAAATTGAAGCTGCTGACTCTATAAGACATCAATAAATAATACAAAGTCAAAAGACTCAAAAAATAGAAGAAAATGTGAAATGCCTCATAGGAAAAATAACTAGCCCGGAAAATAGATTGAAGAAAGATAATTTAAGAAAAATTGGACTTCCTAAAAGCCATGAACCAAGAAAAAAAAAGAACCTAGATGTAATATTTCAAGAAATCCTTTTTTCTTTCTCTTTATTCATTTATTTTGAACTTAAATGCACAAGAAGAAAATAAAAAGAAACAAAACATACTATAAACTTAAATACATAAGAAAAGAAAAGCATTGCCATGTGCACAGAAAAATGTAAGACAGGATTCAAAATATACAGCAATAAATTTCCATTTCAAGAAAGTTTATGTAATTAATACCACACATTGTGTCCAGAACTGTCCACTCTTTGCTTCTTTGTAAGTTTTCTTTTGTTCTCTGCTGTGCAATTTTACTTTGTTCTTTTTCTCCCCTTCCCCCCAAAGGTGGCTACAATTAAATGCAGACACACACATACTAGTTATTTTAATTAGTCTAACAATATTGATTAATATGGCTGACATATAGTGTAGTTTTTCTATTTTTCTCTTTTGATTAAATCTATTTTAGCTTTAACTTTGTCTGAGATCATGATTACTACCCCTGCTTTTTTTTCCTAATAAATTCTACTCCTGATCTTTATTTTATGTTTGTGTATATCTCTTATTTCCTATCCCTCCTGACTCCTCTACTTAACTTTTTTTTTTTGGTGAGGCAATCGGGGGTTAAGTGACTTGCCCAGGGTCACATAGTCTACTTTACTTCTACCCACTACATTGCCCTCCTATTACTTAACCTACCCCCCTCTCCAAAGAATCCTCCCTTTTCCTCTCCCTCACACTGTTTTCCCTTACCTTCTTGTTTCTAACTGAATTTAGAAGATTTTTATAGCCTTCCAAATATATATGTTATTCCCTCTATATCCCATATTTCAAGAAATCTTAAAAGAAAAATTTCCATATACTTTAGAACAGAGGGAATAGTTGAAATTGAAAGATTTCCGTGCTGACTCCTGAAAGAAACCTCAAAATGAACACTTCCAGGGATATTATAACCAAAATTTAGAGCTCCCCAGTCAAGTAAAAAATACTGCAAGCATCCAGAACAAAAGAAACCAAGTACTGCAAAGCCACACTAAGACTAATACAAAATTTGGCAATCATCACTTTAAAGGAGCAGAAATCTTAGAATATGATATTGTAGAAGGCAAAGGATCTAGGATTACAACCAAGAATAATCTACTCAGCAAAACTGAGTATAATCATAAGGGGGGTGGTGGAACTTTAATGAAATATAGGACTCCCAACTTCTAAGTATTACTGATTAAAAAGACAAGAACTGAGCACAGAATTTGACATTCCAACACAGGACTCAAGAGAAGCATAAAAAGGTTAATATAAACGAAAAACCATAAGGGACTTAATAAAACTAAACTGTTTACATGGGGAAATGATACATGTAACCCTTCAGAACTTTCTCATCACCAGGGGTCTAAGAGGGATCCTAATTAGACAGAGGGCCTGGGTATGATGTCATTATGTTTGAATGATCTCAGAAGAAGGGAGGAATAAGGAAGAGGAATTCACAGGGGGAGAATGGAGGGAAAGGAAAGATAGGGAAAATTATTTCATATAAATGGGGCATACAAGGAAGAGTTTATATAACAGAAGAGGAATTGGTGGGGGGAGGGAGAGTGTGTGATACTTGAACCTATCTCTCATCTAAACTGGTTAAAAGAAGGAAGAGCATATATATGCTTACAGTTGGGCACAGAAATTTATCCCACACAATAGGGAAGTGGGAGGGAAAGAGTTAAGAAAAAGGAGGGGAGGCAATGGTCAAAAGTAAAACAAACTTTTAAAGATGGGATAGGGAGTAAAAGAGGATAAGTGGAAGACATTAGGATGTAGGGAAATACAGAGTTACAACCATAACTTTGAATGTGAATGGCATGGGCTCATCCATAAAACAGAGGAGGATAACAGAATGGATTAGAAACCAGAATACAACAATATATTATTTATAGGAAACACAACTGAAACAGAAAGAAACACAGAGAGTTAAAATAAAGGGCTGGAGTAGAATATGTTATGCTTTAGCTGAAGTAAAAAAAAAGGCAAGGGAAGCAATCATGATCTCAGACAAATAAAAAGCAAAATAGACTAATTAAAAGAGATGAATAGGGAAACTACCTTTTGCTAAAAGCTATTGTAGACAATGAATTAATATCAATACCAAATATACATAGCACCAAATATATAGCAAGTAAATTCTTAAGGAAAAGTTAAATGAATTAGAGGAGAAAACATTAAAGCTATAATACCTCAATTGATTATTAAGGGCACCCCAATTTACTCCTTTCAGACCTCAATAAATTTAACTATAAAATAAACAAGAAAGAAGTTAAAGAGATAAATAGAATTTCAGAAAAGTTAGATGACAGACCTCTGGAGAATAACGATTGGGAATTGAAACAAGTATACCTATTCTCAGCTGTGCATGACACAATTCACATAACTATGTATTAGGGCATTAAAAAACAACACAAACAAATGTAGAAATGCAGAAATATTAAATGCATCTTTTCCTGATCACAATGCAACAAAATTTATTAAAGAACATTTAAAGCATAAATTAAAAATCAATTGGAAACTAAATGACTTAGTCCTAAAGAACAGGTGGGTCAAAGAACAATCAGAAAGTTCATTAAAGATTATAACAATAATGAGAAAGCATACCAAAATTTGTTGGATTTAACCAAAGTAGTACTTAGGGAAAATTTATATCTCTAAATGCTTACCTCACTAAAAGAGAGAAAGAGCAGACCAATCAGTTTGAGATGGAATTAAAAAACACTAAAAAAAAACAAGTTAAAAATTCTCAATTAAATATGAAAATAAAAATCTTGGAAATAAAAGATTAATAAAATTGAAAGTAAAAAAATTGAAATAATAAATAAAACTAGGAGCTGTTTTAAAAAAAGGTCCACCAATAAAATAGATAAGCCACCAGCTAATTTGATGGGAAAAAAGGAAAGAAAACCAAATTACCAATATCAAAAATGAAAAGAGTCTATTCATAACCAATGAAGATGAAATAAAACCAAGCATTAGAAACTATTTTGCTTAACTATGTTCCAATAAAGCTTACAGTCTAAATGAAATGAATACTTAGAAAAATATAAATTGCCCAGATTAAAAGAACTGAAATAACCCTAAGTAAGAAATAAATGAACTCCTAAAGGAAAACAAACAAACATACAAACCAGGACCAGATAGATTTACAAAAGATTCTACTAGATTTTAAAATAAACAATTAATTATAATATTACATAAACAAGTTAAAAAAATAAATAAAGGAGTCCTACCAAATTTCTTCTATGATATAAATATGGTCAACATCTAAACCACAGAGT